TACAGGATGGGAGAGCCTGTCTTGCGCTTGTCCCCCTTGTAAGTGACTGTAAATCAAAAACACGACCTAGCTAAGTGTGAACGGAACGCGGCGCGGAGCGGGCGACACGCGAAAATAAAACCCTAATAAATGAGCGCATGTAAAAGCGGAAGCGGTTTCTGCTGCGGTCAAGGCGGAGGTAAACTATCGTGCCATATATGTAAAAGTACGACACCGGCAGCCCCCGCAGCCTAATTAGGACAATAAAGGGTTATGGGCTAATGTATGAGTGCCATGCCAAAGCTAATGAATGCCTGGTATACCTTGTTTCCTCCCAAGCGTCCTTGGACTGTCATCTCCAACCTTTTGATGTTGTATCTGATTATCCAGGCGGCGATTAATCATGATTAAGTACGCACTGAAAGTCTCCAAGAGCGAAAGCGTGAGGGGGAGTTGGGGTAGGGGGGGAGCGGAGGGGTGAAGCGAGGAGGGTTGGCGGAGAGAGTGGGCGGACGGCAGGAAAGTTGCCCAGGTTCAGGCCTCCGTTCTGGGCAACGGCGTCTCCGGCGGGTGCCAAGTGGACACCGATAATGAGACGGCAAAGTAAAAAAAAAAAATAAAAAATCATGGCGCCTTTCAAAGTGTCGTTAAAGGAAGCCGGTCGTTATCCAAGCCACAGTTGAGGCGTCCAAGCGCTTAACGCCTCGCGCCTTCTGTGGTCGCCGTCGACTTGGACGCCGCCCGCCCCGCCGCCTCGCTTGAAGCGTGCCCGCCGCTCTCTGACGGCCATTTCGGCATGTTTTGTTGACACGGACGCGGCGAACGTACGCCGCCGCTCTCCAAAAACATTCCGCCGCTTTGATAGCGGTTGATGGGAAATATAAATGGCTTGGAGCGGAGCGAAGGTAACCACCTATTGGCCTTCAAGCATTTTCGAACGTAACCTGCTCTTATACGCCACACAGACGCGAGGCGCTGGCTTCATTGCGCCGAGATGCTGAGTCTTTTGCCAGGAGCTTGCCTTCTTAGCGAATAGATCAGCCCTCGTGACCGCCCGGGCTCTCTGATACCGTATGCGCCACCTGAAAAGCGCCGGGCGTTTGCCCATGTGCCAAAATAATCAAGCGGAGGCTCGCAAATGGCAGCTCGTCAAAGCATATTAACTATGGGAATAACCCGGCGTGACATGCGGCGCCCGCGCGCATGATCAAATGAGGGCCCGGGAAAAGAGTTTTTCCAGGTACAGTGCTTGGCGATGACACCAGCTCAATCATGACTGCAATGCAAGTGGGGGATGGGGGGGGGGGCAGCGCTGTAGCTCGATTGGACCAAGCTACAATGAGTCTTTTTTTTTTTCTTTAATGGTTTTTGACCTTTTTCTGTTAATGCATTTAGCATTCGGGCCTCTCTTAATGGCTTTCCCAGCGTGGTGGAGGCCGTTGCATTGAAAGGGCGGGGAGACCAGAAGTCGGAAATTATTGCCACTATCAATAATATTACTGCTTAAGTGGTCCACTCGGAGTTTAGGCAAATAATACTTCCCTTTCTTACCACCCGGCTGCTCCTCACAGTGAAAAGTACTTTAGGCAATGAGGTCCGAAGTGAGCGGTGGCTCTGGAAACCGCACCGCAGCGTGATGGTTTTCCTGTCAGAGCGCGTTTCTGTTCAGCAGACCTCCGATTGGATTTTACGCGGACGATTTATAGTTTCCACCTTGGTGTTTTTCTTTGCTGCTTTTCCATCAAATCTTTCTCCGAACAACCCCCCACCACCAACACCCCCCACCGCCCGAGCCGCCCACGCCGGTATTTCAAGCCTAAATGATGGTAAATGATGTGTTCCGCATGTTGTGCAGGAAAACAAAACAACCCGCGATGACAAAGAATGCGCCGCAACTTCACATCTGCCGCTGGAGTGGAAAACGTCCTGACCGCAAACGCATAAATCAGCCCGCGCCTTGCACAATAGAGATGTACAGTGTGCGGAAAAAAATAAAGCACACGGGGGCAGAGCCAGGAGAGCAATGTAGGAAATCAGCATATAATTGTTCGGACATTTTGTCCGCCTGTCTCGCTCCGTGCTGCACTTGCGCGCGCACGGACGCACACATTCACACTCGCGCGCACACGTACTGTACACACCGGCTTTGAAATGCGGATCCAAGGCCCGCGCACTTTCCTGAATCGCTGAACACCCTCAGGACACACGCTGGCCTTTGCGGAGGTGGAAGCCAAATATGAGTGTGAGAAGATGAAGAAGCGTCCTGGCCTATCGTCTGTTCCTGCTAGGTGTTCGCTGCCAATAAATATTTCATTTTGGAACAAAACAAATAACTTGATATCATTCCTCACCTTCTTGTCTAAGGAGCGGCGCGACCGAGCGGCTGATTTACGCAAGGTGGAAGTCGCGGGGACGTGCGCGCATTAGACCCCTCGTGGTGCTCGAGCGCTTGCCCTTTGACCCCGGATGAGAAAAGTAGCCTTCCCGAAAACTGAAATTGCAACTATTTAACGACTCCCAGTGCAGAGGCCTCGGGTTCGATTCCGGGCCCTGGCCTTCCTGTGTGGAGTTTGCGTGTTCTCCTCGTGCCCGCATGGGTTTTCTCCGGGTACTCTGCTTTCCTCCCACATTGCAAAAACATGCACGGTAGGTTAATTGATCCCTCGAAATTGTCCGTAGGTGTGATTGTGAGTGCGAATGGTTGTTTGACTCGGTGTGCCCTGCAATTGATTGGCAAGCAGTCCAAAGTGCACCCCGCCTACTGCCAGAGTCAGCAGGGACGAGCTCCAGTACGCCCGTGACCCTTATGAGGAGAAAGCGGTTCACATAATGGACGGATGGATGAATTATTTGTTGATTTTTTTTTTTTTTTTTTTAACTCTTCATGATGCAGGTGGGGCGCTGCCTCCCCCCTGTATCCCTTGACCGCATGTCCCTGTCCTCTACTTAGCTCTCATGCGGCGCTGAACGCTAGCCGGCAGGCCAACCCCGCTCGCTGCAAGTCAAGTTTATTTATATAGCCCTTAATCACAAACGAGTCTCAAAGGGCTTCACAAGCCCACAGTTCACAAAGATCAACGACATGCCCTTGTCTCCCCCCTGCCCCCCCCCCCTTATCCAAGCAAGGAAAAACTGAGAAACCTGCAAGTCTCGTCTGACCCGCCGCTTCAGACGGATCGGCAATAACAGTGCTTGTGCAATCCCTGACAGCATTGGGTGCGAAATTAACCACGATACTTAATGTAGGGTAGGTGAAAACAACGCGAAATTACAAGGCACTGAACGCTCCGGCTTCTTTCACCTCCTTTGTAAAGTTGCATGTTACGGAATGCATCGGTTTTGGAATGCGCTGCTTGTTGTATTTTCCCGCTTATTTATCTATTCAACTTGAACAGATTAGACTGCGTTCAAAATGTGAACAAATATTTCAGTGGAAATATATCACGTGTTTCTTTCTCAATCTATTTTCAATGGGTGCCCAGCTGCCCCTCAAAAAACATGGCGGCAGGTGTTAAAAGCAGGAAGGCAACCTGATAGGCTAAGAACTTTTTTGGGGGGGGGGGGGCTTCAAGTGAAAAGGTCACACACTTGGATGCATTTGAATCAATCTTTGATGCCATTTAGGGGCATGAGTGAGCTGGCGCTGACGATGGTGGCACACCCTGGACCGGTTGTAACTGCAGTTGCACGGAGAGACGAAGAATCATTGGATGGATCGATGATTGAGGCCCGCTGGTGTCCCGCAACGGGTTTAGCCCACGGACATTTAATTTGAACGGACTAACAATGTCGCTTACTCAGGGAAGCGGGAGGGTACGCCACCGGCGGCCATCTTACGATGCCACTCGCTATGCCCGGCTAACTTGAGCGCATTGATTTCTCTGCAGCTTTTTCATGTTAGTTTCTGTCAGGGGATGGTGGTGTCCATGCTATGAATTTTCTCCCTTAGCAGCAAAATCTTAAATGCTATATATATTTTATTTTTGTTGGGTTTGTTTTTTAGCGTGGGATGGTTCACTGTTTTTACACCTGAATTCTTTTACATGCGGAAGTCACGGTTGTTCATTTGAATACCTTCAGGCACCCGAAAAGGGCCCGACAATCTGATTCTCCCCCCCTCCGCTTACTGCAGCCCACAACTTCACTCAGCCATCTCCTTGCTGACGTCGCAGCCTTGTTGGGAGATGGCGGCCAGCCACCAGCCATCTGGATCATTCAAAGCAGCGCGGCACTCATCAGTGAATGAAACTATTTGAAAATCAGCTCAACTGCAAATGTTTCCGCTTGTTGCTCATCAGAGGCTTTTCAACAGCTGCTCTCTTAATACGATGCGTTTGCCCGACAGAAACTTTCTTTAAAACGGCATTTTCAGAACAAAACCCATTTGCTTTCTGACTCACGCGCAAATTTAACAGTGCGATGATTACCTGGAACTGGCTGGCGCTTTTTATTTCTTTTCTGGTCACCGCTTGATGCATCTTTTTCTCTCCATTATGGATGAAAGCGTGACTTGATTTTAAGGATGTGGAACAAGATTTTTTTTTTTTTATCGTTTCTTTAGGCAGATCTCGGGAAAGTCACGATCAAAACATTCTGAAATTTATCAGAGAAAAATTGAGCAAAAATAAGACAAACAACCCCTCAAAAATGTTGTTATAGTCAAGGAAAACCTACATGAGTTGTAATGAACTCAACTGCGCTGTAGTATCATGTTGACGCTGCAATTCACTATCAAGTTTAGCTAGCACAAATGCTAATGCTAAAATGAGTGATGTCCCTGTCCCATTTATTTATTTTTGCATCCAAATCCAAGTCGAGCCACTTGGTCACCGCGTTTAATCCGATACCTCTCAGGCAATGCCCTTCGATGGATCGATATTTGAGCGCATTTGATTTCTTCCACATCGAAAACCAAAACGAGTGATTCATTGCCTCACCAAATGCAACCAGGTTTCTTATCACAAATTAATCCACACTTCAAATTCAAACGGAAGTGGTTGGAATGTGTCGCGTTTGCTTACCTGTCGCTCTTTGAACGCCGGCGATGCCGCTCGGCTGTTTGGCCATACGCTTCTCGTCTCTGCTGCGCGAGCTGCGGATTGGCGCAAAAGTTGACGGTCATTTTGTGACACACTAGATCTTTTCAGACAATAACAATCAATGAAAAATTGCGCCTTCAGCCCTGACTTCCGATCACGTGTCGACTCTGGCTAAAACAACGTGGGAGGAGCCCATGGGGGCTGGTCCGCTGATGTCATCAATCCCTAAAATCCGTGATCCACGATCACCACGACAAATGACGGAGATCAATGTCGTGATGACAAGCATCATCACGGCTCGGCTGTGTGTAATTATGACGTCCTCTTGCTTTAACTACACTGACTTCAAAAACGCGACACAAGTGTTAATTACTGATGCGCAGGCTTTTTTTTTTTTTTTGTGCTCCTTCAAGAGGATAGAGAGGCTAAATAGTTTGACCCTCGCCAAAGTTGTACGTGAGACATGAAAGGACACGTCGAAATCCTCGTTGAAAGCGGACACAATACAATAAGCACTTATTTTCCTGCGCCGTCTCCCGCGCGGATGCTCCAGGCTGTCTCGCCTTTTGTTGCGTTTGTCAATCACCGTAATTTGGGCTCCATTTCCAAAAATAATTATCAGGTGAGTGGCAGCCCTTTGCCTGGAGTGCCAACTTGGTAGCGGCGTGCCCAAGAGTATTAATTATGCCGCTCAAAATATGAAGTCTTTTAATAGAGAGGCTGACGTGACATCATTGTTTTGGAGTCTTTCTTCCTCCCCCACCCCCACCCCGCCCCCTACAAACATGACAATCACGGGCGTCCCTCTGGTCATCAGCAGAAGATGAGGGGGGGTGTGGGGTGGGGAATTGTCAGAGGAAGTTATTAACAGGCTGTGTACCTCGTGATAAAGTCAGGCAGACTCTGGCTGGTACGCGCGCGGCGTGTCGATTGACTGGCAAAAAAAAAAAAAATTAATTAAATAAAAAGCAGCCAACAGCGAGTACGTCGACAACTGAGGAAAAGACGCTAATGCGCTAAAAGTCACGCCGAATGTAGCCACCGATGCGCGAGCGTCCGCTTTCATTCTCTGGTGCTGCCAATCAGCGGCTCGCTCGCTCGTCGAGTTGCTTCCTTGCTACCGCCGCCGCAGCAGCACTGGAGTTGCGCTTCACATGTGAAGCCCCCTCCCACCCCCCGAAGAGGCGCAGACAGCTTCCAGGTCTCATTAGCATCCAGTAGCGGCTAATGCTGCCTCCCTATTACTGTCGGAGGAGCTGGAATTCAGTTGGAGACGAGCGCAGCCCAGGGGGGCTTCGGGTTGCCAGTTTAATTAGTGCCTGATAATTTCAATAATGAGTGACAATTCATTGGGGCTTTTTAGGTTGGCCCGCTGTTTGAGTGCAAATCGATAATCCTCTGTTTCTTCACCCCACCCCTCTCAGCAGCAGATAAAGGGCAAGCGTGCGTTG